GGCTAGGAGTTCGTGCACACAAGCACATCTGAGGGGAGACACATATACGTACTGGGTAACCGCATGGGAGCGTCATGAATGTGTGTGAGTGCGTGCTTGCATGGGACATTGGAAGCGTATCAGCGGACACACACGCACACATATGTAAGAGAACACACCCATGGAAGGTACGTGTATGCTTTGTGTACAAATGCGAGTGCACCCGTGAGAGCTGGCCTGCAGCCCCCATGGAGAGCGCGGGCGCGTGAGCACATATGCAGAGCTGCAGATGTGTTTTGTGTGCATGGCTGTAAGCAGGCATGGGTTTGCACTGTGCACCCAGGTGGGAGCATGTCTGAGGGTCCACACGTGCAGGCATCCTGTGCTGGCAAGAGCACGTGGCTGCGCGCGTGCACCCATGTGCACACACTGAAGCGTAAACCCTCTGCCCTCAGAGTGAGGGCTTGACAGGGTTACATTTCCCAGAGGCTCGGCGGCCGGGGACAAGCTGGCCCGAGAGCGCTTGCTGGCAGGAGGTAAGTGGAGCCGCTGATTCGTGACCCGGGGGTGGGCCGTGATGACTGCTGGCTGATGGATGCGGGCGCTTAGCCGCCCCTTATGACAGCAGCTGGCTCTCTCAGCTGCCTGAATCAGGAGGTGGGAGGTTAGTTCTTGACCTGGGTGCTCGGCGCCGGCCTCCCCCTTCCCCGGCGCATGCCCACAGCCACATGCTGACACACGCACGTTGGTACACGCCGGAGACGCGGACCTGGGCGTGCACGGCAGCCCCACCTCCACCTTGCTCCCCGGCTCAGCCATCTGTCTGCCGTGCCTCCCCTCTCCCCAGCCGCTCTTCTCCCCACACCCCCTCCGCCCCAAACTCTGCTCAGAATCTGAGTTGTCCTGGTCCTGTGCGGACTTGTGGGGCGTGTGTGTGCAATGGCCCGCCCTTACAAGCTCCGTGCCCTCGAGCAAGCCTCTCCTCGTCTGTGAGCCCTGGATCCCTCATCTGTAAAATAGGGAGAATCATGTACCTGCTTAAAATTAAACAATGCAACTTATGTAAAGAGCTAAACACAGTAAACATAGAGTCCACCCTCCATGGGTTTTACCTGTGCTGGTGATGATTACATGCAGGGCTTAGAACAGCGCCCGGCATGCAGCAGGGGCTAGGGAAGTATGTGGTCCCTGTTAACTGTTGCTGTTGTCACTGTCATTAATATCCTCGGCTCTCAAATTCCTGGCCAATTATAGGCCAATTCTTGCTCATGACCCTGATTCCTCCTTTATCCTGTGATGATGACGGTGACAGAGACAATGACAGTAAAGAGGAATTCTTTTCATTTTCCCTGAGGCTTTGAAAAGAGGGCAGCCATGGTAAATGGAAGGCTCATTGCTTTCTGAGCGCCTTGATAAGAGTTGGGTGTGGCCAATTAGAGCACGGAGCTGGGAGAGTCTGGGGCAGCCGTGCTCTCTGCTCAGCACAGGGAGAGGATTTGGAGCTTCTGGGGGAATTTGGTGGGAACGAAAGAGACAGATGGCCAAAGGCTGTGTACTCTACTACAAGACCCTTCTCTGTGACCCCAGACCCTCAGAACAGTTGCTCACAAAGTGCTTGCCATCCTTGGCGTTCGTGGACACCTGGTGGAGCCCAGGACGGAGGCTGGACTCACTGGATTTCACTCTTGGGCTGGCTCAGGGCCCTGTGGGGACACAGGAGTTGGAAGCAGAGGGGACTGAGGGAGCATGGCCTTTCCCTCCAAGCCCCACTCCAGAACGAGAAGAAATCATGAGGAGGCTGAGGACTCGCACAGGCCGGACTACGCAGCAGTGAGCAGAGAACAAGGTCTCCGGGGCACAGAATGGCAACATCAGATGCACCCAGGCCACGTGTCCGGTGCTTCCTGTGTGCCCCCCACTGTGTGTGCTGCTGATGTGGGAGGTGCCGAGCGCCAGAGCACCTCCGTGAAATCCTGGCGTCTCTCTTTATCAGTTATTTGATCTCGGGCAAGGGACTCAAACTTTTTGTGCCTCAGTTCCTCACCCATAAAATGAGGGTACTTATTGGGTGGTTGTGGGATTAGATGAGTTAGTTCATGTGATATGCTTGCAGCAGTGCCTGGCACATGGGAGATGCTCCGTAAGTATCAGGTATCAGCGGTCATTACTGCATTTTATCCTCACTAGCACCCTATGGAGTAGGTGTTCTGAGTATGTGCACTTTATGGATAAGAAAACAGAAGCACAGAGAAGGTAAATAACACGTCCAAAGTCACACCGCTGGTAAATGGTATAGAGCCAGAGGCTCAGAAGGTGAATCTAGATGAATAATATTCTTTATTTCTGGCAGGATTTTAACTCTGTGTGACCCTGGGAAGGTCACTCCCCATGTGAGCGATTTGGAAGATGTTCAAGGATGCTTGTGACTCCACGTTTGTACGTCCCTCTGGACAGGTAAACTGACTATATCCTCCTTCTCGGCAGGGGCAGAATCTGTCAAGGCAACCGGCTTACGTGGAAAGAACAGAGACTTGGAATTAGGGGTCCTGTGTTGTCCCAGCTCTGTCCTAGACCAGCTGGGTGACCTTGAGCCAGTCACTTTACTCCTCTGGATCTCAGTTTCCCCTCTACAGTGGAGAGAGCAAAAACCAATCTGAGAAATGTCACTGGGATTCTGTATGTGACAGCTGAGCACATGCAATGAGAGAGGGGACCACCTGTCTCCCCAAGGGTCCCCGAGTTACCATGCCCATTTGTAGAAGCGATAGATACAGGAACATGGACAAAGCGTCCTACACGGGATGAGGGTCCTAATATCACCCAATTTGGGACTACCTCGCTCGGCCCATATACCTGCCATCAGGACACATGCTCAAATGCAGCAAAGCATCCAGTTCCTTGGCTTGGCCTTCGAGTTCTTTCTCTACCTGCCTCCAACCAGCCTTCCCTGCCTCACATCTCACCATTGCTCCACCCAGTGATCCAGCCCCTGGGACCACACATGGTCCCTGAAACCACCACAGGCTTCTGGCCTCTCCCCTCCCCCTGCCTTTGCAGATGCTTTTCTGTCTGCATGGAATGCTCTTGTTTGCTTGGTCATCTCATACATGTCATTCTTCAAGAGGCAGCTGGAGTCACCTCCTCTGGGAAGCCCTCCATAAATTATTCAATCTTTCTTCAGTGTTTTCAGGACGTTGTTCTGTTAGTTCTGCTATAACTCTTATCAAGTGCATTATTATTGGCTGCTTCTGCTCATCACGCCCAGCCCTCTGGGGCCTTCAATTGCTGGAAGGCAGGAAGTACTTCCGACCTGTGTAACCTTGTGTGTGTTACTACCTTCTGGGCCTCAGTTTCCTCACCTGTGAAGTGGGGCTGACAGTATCTAATTTCGATGAAATAATACAGGTAAGGCACTCGGGCATGATGACCATCTCTGGATCTGTCACAGTGGACCTTGGCAAATGTGGAGGGAATCAATGAACGATCCCTGGGGGAGTAAAAATAAATAAGTGAATAAATAAAAATAAAGCTAATGAGCATCCATTAAGCATTTTCAATGCGTCAGGAAGGCACTGGGATCAGAGCTTAACATGCATTATCTCCTTTAAGCCTCTTAACAACCCTTTAAGGGAGGGACTATCATTAGCCCCATTTTACAGATGAGTAAACTGAGGCTTCAGCAGTTGAGGACCTTGATGAAGGCTGCCCAGCTAGCAGGAGCGGGTATTCATAGCCGATCAATGCAGAATGAATGACTCACTTGGGGGTGGGCTGGGAGGACAATTGACTTATATCTTGTCATCAAAGGGATTTAGAGCTGGAGGCTCTTGAAGACAACCCTGAAGTTCTTAACTTGGGGAGGGTCCATGGATGGGGAGACTGATGGGCTCCCGGACCAAACAGATAAGGTCCCCATCATGCCCAGTGGCTTCCGGCCCCTCATCTCCTGCCAACCCTCCTACGTCACCCCAGTCCCAGAGCGGCCCAGCTTGTCCTCTCTTGCCACCCCTGCCAGGGGTCCTCTCCCAGTCCCCCCTGAGACTCGAGAAGGCTCCACAGTCACTGGGAATGTCGTTATCCCCTACTCTGGGCAGGAACAGAGCTGACAATTGGGGCCATTTCCTTCTCCGTTGGAGATGTTGGGAGAAGGGGAGAGCGACTGGGTGAGGGAGAGAGCCCGGCCGGCGGGCTTCTGATAATGACAAAAATAACAATAGTATCAAAGGCTAGCATTTATTGAACACCTACTATGTGCCAGGCTCTGTCCTAACCACGTGACACATGACCGCTTTTTATCCTCACAACTCTTCGAGGTAGGTTCTGTTATGAGCCTCATGTGACACACGAGGAAGTGAGGCCCAGAGAAGTGAGGTAACTTGCCCAAGGCCAGGCAGCTGGGAAGTCAGTACCAGAGGCTCCACCGTTCTGGCTAGGTGTCCTTGGACGGGCCACAGCCACTTCTCTGGGTGGCCTTCTCCATCTGTTGCCTGCAGGGCCCCACCTCATGGTTTCCATGACGACTAAGATGGTCTCTGTACAGTGTCCCAGCACACAGTAGGCGCTTAGTAAATGAACAGCCTTCCTTCTCTCTTAACTCCGATGGGGGAGACCTGGGAGGGGGGGACACCTCAGCAGCACCCTCCCTCCAGAGTTCTTCCCCCAGCAGGGAGTGGGTAACCCGCCCCTTCACACAGCCACGCCGCGCCATCTCCCCTCTATCCCGAGAGCCACGCAGTGCCCAGTCCCATTGCAGTTTTAATGACGTGGCCGGTAATTCCGGCAGGTCTGGGCGAAAGCTGCACCACGCACCACCCCACCCCGGGGCGGGGCGTGGGGGGGTGCGTCGGGGAGTCCATCCCCCTACAAGTCCGCCTCCTGTCCGCCCGCCCTCGGAGGGTGGGAGGGCTGGGGAAGGGGGTGAGCCCGGGAAGTGCTTCGTCCTGGGGCCCCGTGGGGCCCTGAGTGGGCCGGGAGGCGCGCCCGACGGCAGGGCCGGGGGGAGGGGGGTGGTGGGTGGTAGGCTAGGAGGCCTGGGCCTCGTCGTCCGCGCGGTGGCCCGCGTAGAGCGCGGCCAGGGGCCGGAAGCGCGGGCCCCAGCCGCTGAGATAGGCGAAGTCCTGCTCGGAGCCCGAAGAGCCGCTGTGCAGCGAGCTGAGCGAGGCGGCCGGCGAGTCCGCGCCCTCGAAGGCGTAGGTCTGGAAGGCGTCGTAGGGCGGCACCGACAGGTCCCCGTCCGCCAGCGCCACCTTGCGGCTGATGAAGTCCCTGAACACCGAGAAGTCCTGCTCGGGGCTCGGTGGCCCCTGCGGGAGGGAGTGGCGCTCTGAGGGCAGGCGGGCCTGCGGGGGGCTGCCCGCGCCCCCGCTCCCGCCCGGGCCCCCGCCGCCTCCGCCCCCGTCGCCGCCCTTGAGTTCGCCGCCGAAGTCGTAGAGGCTCCGCAGCGCCGACATGTCATAGGCCTCGGTGTCCTGCTCGCCGCCGCCCTCGTCGTTGTATTTGATGACGTTGTCCCGCATGTCCTCGTCCTCGTCGGAGCTCAGGTGGCTCTTGTGGTGGCGCCTGAGGGTGAGGATCAGCAGCACCAGCACTGCGGGGGAGACAGAAGGGGCAAGTGAGGGCCGAGGCCTGCCTAGGACATTCCGGGGACCCCTACCCCCCACCCCTCACACACGGCAGTGCTGGCCCAGCCTAACCACTGGTGCAAATTTCCTAGATTTCTGTGCAAAAAGACGTTTCCTACAGTCAGAACTGCACTGGCTATATGGATAGGTAATGAGTCACCCATCTTGGGAGGTGTGCAAATCGAGGCTAGACCACCAGGCTGCGGTGGCAGTACTGACGGCAGTGTTAAGAGACTTCCTGGGTGTTTGGGGCTGGACCCAACCTCTGATGTCTCCATCCTCAACTCTATGAAGAGAGACAACTTGAGAAGTCTCTAGGCTCTGGGGGGTGCAAAGGGGGCAGTTGAGGGGCAGATGGGGCTAGGGGAATGAAAGATGTCTTGAACCTGACTTCTTTTTTACCCTCGCTCTCCTCTATCTATTCCAGAAGTCCTGAGCACCTTCTTAGCCCTTTGGGTCTCAGGTCAAGACGACCTCTGCAGGAGGGACGCCCCCCCCACCGCCGACGAGCTCCAGGTCAGGTTCAGTGCCTTCACCTCCAAACTCCCCTGGTGAGGAGTTTCTCCCTCTGTCACACGGGTTCTCAGAGCGCAGCTGCTGGACCACCAGCAGCAGCATCTCCTGGGAACTTGCTAGAAACGTGACATCTCGGATCCTGTGCTAGACCTACTGGCAGTCTGTCTTGATGAAGCCTCCAGGTGATGCCCAGGCAGCTCAGGTTTGTGAACCACAGCTTCCCCCACCCCAAACACACACTCTAAACTCCCCCTTGGGGCCCCAGGAAGTGTTCCCCTAGCTCGGTGCCTGGCAGGCAGTAAGCCCTTGAAGGGTGCTTGTTGAGTGAATGACTGACTGTAGAGGTGGATGGAGATGTGGTGAGTGTCAGGATGAAGAATTAGAGCACTGCTCCTTCTTTGCTTTCTGCACTTGACTTCCAGGACTCCACATTCTCTCCTCCTCCCGCCTCGCTGATCACTCATTCTCCGCCTTCTGAACAGGCTTCTCCTCGCCTGTCTGACCCCTTAACATCAGCCGTCCCCGGATTTGGTCCTTGGGCCTTATCCACACCCCTCTGTGGGGGCTATCCTGCAGTCCATTTCGAGGCTGACCGCGCCCACATCTCGGCCTTCAGCTTGGACTTACTTCTCCCCTGAAACCTAGATCATCCGTCCAGTTTCCTCAACAAGTCCTCTGGGCTGACCAAGAGAATCTCACACTGAACACGTCTAACCTTGAAATAATCTTCCCCCTTCCCTGCCCTCCGTCTCCCCCATCTCTGCGATGGCAACCCTAACTTTCCTGTTACTCAGGGCTTTGTGGGGGTTTTTTGTTCGTGGATGGATCCCAGCGCCTGCAATAGTTTAGCACATGGGGTTGGGGCGGGGGGACTCGCTGGATGGATAAATAAGGAGCTGATGAACCACTGAGAGGATTAAATGGGTAGGTGAGTGGGTGGATGGAGAGACGCACGCTGGGTACCATGCCAGGCACTGGATTCTTCTTGTTGCTCCTAACATCTCCAGCCAGGCCAGTGGCCAGAGCCAGCTGCTAGGGCCATGGGGCCGGGTTCCAGCCCATGACCTAACAAGGTGGCACATGACAGGGAAGGGGGTGGGGCCCGGGAACAGGTCCGGAGGGAGGGAAGGTGTCAGGAGAGAAGTGGGAAAGATGGATGGACAGCTTTCGGAGCGGAGGCTGGGAGCTGCAGAGGGGGATGCCCGAGAGAGCAGATGGTGGGGAGTGCGGGCGGCAGGCAACAGATGTGCCAGGCCTGATCAGCGATTCCGCCCGTCACCTTTAGAGCACTGATGTGCACTTTCTTCGTTTGTGGGCAATTAGGCAGAAATTTGTTTGCACTGCCTCGGAAAATGAAACCGCTGTAAAGTGCACCCTCTGGAAAAAGGGCTTCTGAGCCATGGGCTGGGGAGGGGAGAGAAGGGGGGCCCGGGCCTCGCAGCTAGGAGGAGCCTGCCCAGGGCCTCTGCAGGGACCCGAGGAGTTGCGGCTTGGCGACTGGCAGGTTCTCGGTGGGGTGGACAGTGGCCACCACGCCAGTGGCAGGGGTCAGGCGGCTGACATCTCCTAGGGAACTGAGCAGAGCTGGTATCTGCAATCTGGACCACTCTTGGGTTCCCCGCGCTCTGGCTGGTCGCTGAAGTCCAGCAGCCAGAGCAGAGGTGAGGCCTTTCTGCTGCAACAGGGGGAGGTGGATTTATGGCCACTGGAATCCAGCTTAGCTCCTAGAACTTGACCTCTTCACTGGTGACACTTTGTGGGTTCCACTGGCTGCTGATGGGGTTGCTGCCGGAGTAGATTTTGCCTCCCCAAATGTCTTAAGATTTTGCCCCAGCTGCCACCGGGGTTTTGCCCCAGCTGAGATTCAGAGCAGGTGGCGTAGTAAAAGGGAACACAGGGTGAGGAGGCCTGATGTCAAGTTGGAAGACTATGTACCCTTATGCAAGCCACTTAATCCCTGCGAGCCTCACTTTCCTCCTCGGAAAAATGGGGATGATACACCTGGCTTCATGGTTGTGAGGAACACAAGAGCCTTTTTTCACTAGAAGGACTTTACTAAAAGTCCTACATGGAGAATAAAAAAGGACGGTGGACATGAGAGATTTTTAAAATAATATGCTTGTTTTTAAAAATGTAGAGTGTGGCCAGCATGCAAGGAGTCTCAGGTGGGGCTGACATTTTCTGGAACTGGGGGTGGAGCTGCTCGGTTCTTAGAAGACTTGTCACGGGACCCACACGGTAGAGCTCGGACATCATTTGGGCCGCCCTTCCTGGTGGGAGAGGGAAGCTGAGGCCCCCGCGGGGGTTCCCAGGAAGGACATCCAGGGCCCCAAGGTGAAGGCCAGCGGGGCGGGGGTGTGGCTCTGGCCGGACTCACCGACCAGGATGAGGACGCAGACCAGGAGCGCGATGAGGGCGCCGGGGCTCAGGGAAGTGGCCATGACGAAGGCTGTGGTGTTGCAGGACTGGATGGTCCCCGAGCTGTCACAGCCGCAAATGCGGATGGTGAGCGTGCCCGTGCTGCTCAGCGTGGGTGGCCCGCTGTCCACCACCAGGATGGGCAGGAAGAACACGTCTTGCTCCTGCCGGTTGAAGCCCAGGTGCTGCGTGTGCACCGCCGCCGTATTGTCTGCTCCGGAAAGAGGGAGTGGCAGGTGAGGCGGGTCGGCCTCCCCTGTCCCAGCCACCTCCTGATGCCCCCTCGGGATTTGCCGCCCTTCACCCCGAGCTCCTGCCTCCCGGGTGACCCACGGATCTGCTCCCCAATCTCCGCAGCTTCTGCCCCCAGCTGCCTGACAAACCTGCTCCCAGCCGTGTAGCCCACAGTTCTGTCCTTAGCTGTCACAAGATGCTATTCCCAGCTGTCTCAAGATTCTGTTTTCAGCTATTCCAAGGTTTTGTCCCCGGCTGGGCCAAGGTCCTGTCCCTGGCTATGTTAATTTTTTCCCTCGTTCATCTCAGTGGCCTTCTTTTGTTCTACCCCAGCTACCCAATGCACCCTGACTCTGGGGTCCTGGGGTCCTTGGGTTATGGCTTACTGGGCCCCTGACAAGTCCTGGGTCACGGAGAAGACTGGGAATGTCTTCTCTGGCACCTGGGTTTGGCTGAGGGAGCTTTCTGTCGGGAGTCTAAGAGGCTGAGCCTGGAGGGCTTGGGGCACGGCCCCTGGGGCCTGATGAGGGACTCGCGTGCACCAGGGTCTCCTTCCTACATGTGCGACCAGAGAGGACAGTGAACTAACACAAGTCATACTCATGACACCACTTCAGTCAGCTGCTGGGAATGCCAGGCAGGACTCAGGTGGCTCTCTGGTCTCGGAGCATGGGCTTTGGCGACAGGTGGTGCCCACTTTCCCCTGCCCTTCCTGCCTCTCCCACCCTCTCCTGTATGGGTCAGGCCATCCCTGAGCCTCCATCATTTTGATGCCAGTGTGGAGGCTCCTACTCTGAGCCAGGCTGGCTGCTACCCCCACCCTTCACAGCCAGCTCCACACCGGGGTGCCCTGCCGTCCTGTGGGGGGGTCCAGGCTTCCCTCCTGAGTCCTCCTCCTGCCCTCACGGCCTTTCGGCTAGTCTCTCTGCCCTCAGACTTCAGTAGGCTGGGTCCCTTCCCCAGCTCTGTGGCCCGTCAACCCAAATCAGTTCCGGGCCTCCCCCAGTCGTGGACACAGTGCAGGAGAAAAGAGCTGACGTGTGACCTTGAACACATCTGTGACGCGAACTTGAGGTCCAGCTCAAACAAGATTGGTCATGGGTTGAAGCTCGTGTGATGGTATCATGACGTTTTGTGATATTATTCTATCTACTTTTACACACATTTGAAAATCTCCATCAAAATGTTAAAAAAAAAAAATCATGCCTAGTCGATCATTTACTCGCTTGGGAGCTCACTTAGTTTCCCTGGACCTCAGTTTTCTCACCTGTAACTGAGGAAAACAGTAGCACATCGGCGTGAGGATTATGGTGAAATTCATGCCTAACCCTCAGAATGGGTCCCAGCCCCTGGAAATTCCCCATAAATGCTGGCTGTTCTTTCGGCCGCGCCCCACCCCCACGTTCCCTGCGCTGCACCATGGGCCTGCTCTCCGTGTAGGCTGCCCTGCCTCTCCTCACCTCGTTCCCGCTAGTGGGAACACCCTCCCCACCTTCCTGCTGGGCAAATTCCTCATCTGTCACGCTCCAGCTAAATGTCACCTCCTTTCTGTGGCCTCCTTTCTCCGCTTCCCTGGGAAGGAAGGATTTATGGCTTCCCCCACCCTGCTCTGACTATGCAGGTGCCACGCACATTTCTGCTATAGTGCTTGTCACCTTGCGTTGGGTTAGCGTGTGCCTGTCTCTGCCCTGGCACCAAGCCAGACCTGAAGAATGACACTTGAATGAACTGCAACTTTTGGGGTAACTGTTGTCCCGGGTCAGCTCCTCAATCTCTGGCTTCAGCTGCCTGTCAAAGGGTAAATCAATGCCGGCTGTGAAAATATCTGCCTTCCCAAGAGCAAGATGAGGGAAAGGGAATGATGTGGGACTCTTCTGCTCTGACTACAGGCTTTCTATGCATCAAGGACTGTGTGGATGCTTTAAATAGAGAGTGGTATTTAATTGTCCCAACCACCAAGAGTTGTGACATTATTTCCATTTTATACGTGTGGAAATTAAGGTTCAGAGAGAAGTGGCTTGTCTGAATTTATCCAGTGAATTGGTGACGTAGCTCTTTTTCCCATTCACCCATCAAACCATCCATCTATCCATCCCTCAACCATCCATCCATCCATCCATCCATTCATCCGTCCAACCATCTATCCATCCCTCATCCATCCACCCATCCATCCATCCTCCAACCACCCATCCATGCATCCATCCATCCTCCATCCATCCATCCATCCTCCATTCATCCATCC